ATTGAATCAATTTTTCAGATATTTCCATGTTTACCATGATTGTGGGAACCCTCAGACTAACATTTGCATTCAAATCAAGAACAGAACAGTGGCTACTGTATGAAAGTGATTGGTTAAGTTTAAATTGAGTTAAATTAGGTTAGTGTCTGATCAGGGATAAGTTGATTAAATGTGATAAGGTTGGCAAGAGCTAGCAAGGTGTGGGTTAGAGCCACGGGGTACCTGAGAGGTGTCAGCGTTAGGCCCGGGGGAGGGCGATCTGCAGGCGGGGGGAGAGGAGACCTCGCTGTTGGTGCCCTCCTCACCAGACTCCTCTGTGACCGGGGAGAGGAGAGTATGACAACGACCTGCCGTCATCTGACCATTCAAGGGCAAAAGAGACAGAGGAAGAAAGAGAAAGAAAGATGCATAAACAGTGAAACAGGAGTAAAGCACCAAAAGAAGAAGAAAACCAGAGGAAGAATATTAGGGTGCTGGAAAAGTACACTACCGTTCAAGTTTGGGGCTGGTAATATTTCTTAAACATGGTTTTAAAAGGAGTCTCTCATACTCAGCAAGGCTGCAATTTATACAGTAAAAACAGTAATACTGTGAAATATCATTGCAATTTAAAATGTAATGTATTCCTGTTATGGCAAAGCTGAATTTTCTGCAACCATTACTCCAGTCTGCAGTCACATTGTGTGCTTACCATTATTTTTGTGGAAACCATGACACATTTTTCAGGAATCTTTGATGAATGTTCAAAAGAACAGCATTTATTTGAAACAGGAATCTTTTGTAAGATTATAAATGTCTTTACTGTCACTTTTTGATCAACTGAATGCACCCTTGCTAAATAAAATATTTCATTCCTTGACCCCAAACTTGCAGTAGTGCATATTTCTATTTTAATCTGACAGGAAGTCCTGATTCAAGCAGAAAATCTAAATAAGACTCTGCAAAGCAGCACCACAGAATTACAGACAGACCACATTTGTTAAGAGTAGCCATGACTAAGGCCTTCACAGACCTCTCGTCATAATAAAGGAATGAACCCGGTCAGGAAACAGGGCAGAGGATACACACAGACTCACTGTAAAAATACAATAAGATGGCATACAATAATGAATTGTGCTTGCCTGCATAAACTAAATGAATCTGAACCATGGAAGCGCTCCACCATTAGGCTAAATTTAGATCTAGATACAATGACTGCTGAACTACTGCAAAGCTACACCCCTTTCTCTGTAAGTCAGTAAGGACTGAGCGACACAGCTGGAGCTGAACTGTTGGCGGTTAATGTGGAATCCGGCCCTGATCATGACTGATGCAACGAAGGGAAACCATACGGCCCAAATAAAGACAAACTAATGTTGACAAAGTCAAGGGCAACTAACACCCTCATCCTGTTTCCTCTTTCGGCAACAAACAACAGCAGGCACATACACAATGTAGAGGCACATACAACCCTGTGGGAGAAATAAGAGACCCATGGGATGCTGTCTGACAGTGAACGAAAAAAAGAGCACCCAGCGCACCCTGCCCAGCCCTATCATGTGTAAGTGTAAATCACTCACCATGACAACAGAGGGGTGTGCTGGTGAGTGTTTGGGCATCTCGTCCTCCTCATCCTCCAGCTCCTCTAACCCGTCAGAGAGTCCATCGACCTCGCTGACTGTCAGCAGCATGGTAGCATGTTTGGCTTTCACAGTCAACATCTTACACTTGGAGTTCAAGGCCGAGATCTGCTCCTGGTATCCTTTTATCTTCAGGGCCAGTTCCTGTCACAATCACACATTACATTATTATTCCACCGTGGTTGGTCCAAATAAATGCGTCCTTGATTAAGTCCCATAGATGAGAAGTGAAAAAGGAGTTAATGCAGAGAGTGGCACCGGCTAGCTGAGCTGAGAAATTCCCCCTCTCTGTCTGTTTGCAGTAGAAAAAATGGCACAGGCGAGCAATCGCTCAGTCAGAGGCATTTTGAGCTTGTAGCCAATCAGAGCGTTGTGGGAGAAGGCCGACAAGCCAAGCCTTCGGGCAACAGCAAATGTGATTGGCACAGAGCTCGACCAACTGGAGAGAGTGGGAGGGGAGTAGAGAGAGGAAGAACACTCCCTCCCCCAAACCGGCCAACTCACACTCATACACACACAAAGACCTGAGAACAGGAAATGAGCTCAGTGTGAGGGGCTATCCCCCCCCCCTCCTGTTTACTCTTTTCCTTCCTTCCCCTCACTTCCTCGCTTTCCACCAATCCTGAAGCTGTTTTCCTGACAAACAAAGGAACTGGGCGCGAGCGTGAGACTGAGAGGGGAGGAAGGGGGCTCACATTACAGATTTTGTACGGCCCGTGGAGTCCCCCTCCCGGCGTTCTCTCTCATTAACTGTCATTCTTTTGCAAACACACAGACAGGCCAGTCTCTGGTAATGAGGTCATGTGGGAGAAAGCTGCAGCTGCAGCACTCGGCTCTGCAGAAGAAAATAACCCTGGGTGATAAAGCCACAGCTGCCACCCCAAATGAAGTAAGATCTACTAATAAAACACAAGGACATGAGATTCAGCACAGGTTTAGGTTTATTTTTTATTTTATTTTTAGGGGGGGTGGCACATTACTAAGCACTAAAATGTAAAAAAAAAAAATAGAAAAGGAAAAAGTGTTTTTTTTTTTTTAATAATTAAACACTGCGTCGTCAGAGTTGGTATGTGGCTTTATCAGACACTTGCACTTAACATTTTATGAAAATCAAGCTCAAATTGAGTTAACAAGGTTTTTGACCAGCGAATGACGGAAATCTGTGTTGTGTCTGTCATTATAACGGCCGCATCTGTGGCAGCAAGTGCATCGTATTATATGCTTTCATCAACTTACAGGTTATAACATTTATTGTAGCTATATGGGCGCTTCGTTTTTCTTGTCGTTTAATACACTTGGCCAAAATCTCATGATATATAGACGATGAAGCACTATATGCACAGGATATTTAAAACGTAGCCTAAAAAAGTAGCCTATATTGGTTACTAGATGGCAAAAGCTATTCTCCGCTCTTCAAACACACAAAAAACATTAGCCTTTACAGACATAGTGATTTAGTGAAGAAAACGCTGTACTTATTCAAACATCAGCTATTTATTATTTACCCTTGCACTGCGAACAAGCCAAGATCTGTCTCCAGGCTGTGCGCGCTGCTCGGCGCTTCGTTCTGAATGGAGGCGGGGTGAAGTTACGAGGTTTCGCTGACAGTTTGAGGATCCATAGCGTTACAAAGTTTAGTGACAAGCTCTTTTGAATGCTTTTCATTGGTTAAATATTTGTAAAACCCTCAAACAGACATAAGGAAGACCAATAGCAGTGATTTAAAACAATAATAACGAAATATAATAGAGAGTTTGGATTTTCCACGGCACACCTGACTGGGCTAGGGTATGGCAACTGCCATACTCTGCCATACGGAAACGCCACCCCTGTTCAAGCGTTAAATAATTTTGATTAATTGTGCAGCCCTACTCGCCTTCATGTGTGTGAAAGTGTTTGTGTGTGCAAATGTAAAGAAACAGAGCAAAAGGGTGTGAGAGAAAGACAGAATTTGATGTCACACAGAACAAAACATACTGAGGTCAAAGATCGAAGAACTACCTTTACACCCATTGAGAGCACGTTAGGAATTTATGGCCTGACTCATTCCAGCCGAATGTAGGTCAACTAGCAAAGCAATATAGTGAGCGATAGCTTAGACAACACGCCTGCAATTAATTGTGAGATTGACTGACTGATGCACCAAGCAGGAATGATCATAACATATACCTTATTTAAAGAAACAGTGTTTAAAATAGAAGATTTATGCCTTAAGCATCTATATTTGCAAAAATATAAAAGTATGAAAGAAGGATGTCCTTCCTCACCTCATGATGTTGTATCTGTGTCTGAAGCTCTTGTATGTTTCCTGTGGCAACAGGGCGGTCCTGAATAACACGGTGTGCTTCTTCAATAAGTCTCTGTAGGTTCTTGACTTCCTGTTCGTATTGCTCATACTGCACCATGGCCTCCTGGGGTAATGTGAAGAGAGATGCTAAATGAGCCATTAAAACCACAAGTGCTAAGCCCAGATGAATCCCATGACCGTGCTATATGAAACTATGCAGATAAACAGAAGGGGAATATTATTTAAACGTCTGTTGGATTTCATATTATCCATTTATAATGTTAGTAGCTTTAAGTTATCAGTACCTTTACAATGGGGTTAAAAGGACCACTAGTGAAAATGCTTTTATTTTGAATTTTTTTCTAACTTTTTTTTTTTTTTTTTTTTCATTTCAGCATAAAGGTGTAAGTGAAAGCTTGAATTAAAAAATACTTATCAATATCTTCATCTAAGAATATGTTGCAATCTGTGTGTGGATACCTGTAATATATTGCACTGTAGAATGGTATTGTGTTGGAGTTGGCTGCTCTCTTGCTGCAGACTCTGTGCAGTAACACATAGCGGTAAAGCTGCAATCACGTCCTCTGGCAGCCGGAGGGCACTCTGACACATCTGCATAGCCTGTACCTGCTGCTTGAGACCCTCCATCTCTGACAACAGCAGCTGAGCAACAAATATTCAACATAAGTTTGATGGTATCAGTGATAAAAAAAGTACATGTCATTTTCTTTTCAGTACACATAAAAATATTATTATTTGTATAATTTTTTCATTACTAATCAGTATTTTCGTCTTGAAAAATATTGAAACATTCTTAAAGCAATATACATTCAGCAAAACTAAGAATAGACTTGTTTTCAAAAAACATATCTTGAATTAAGATTTAACATTTTTCTTATATCGTTTCCTTTTTTATGCATAACCCATAAACTAATGTTTTATTTGTTACATTTATGCTTTAAACAATAAAACAAACTTCACACAAAGAATATTTTCTTAATAATAAAGATCTTTAAATATTTTTACTGGCAAAAAAAATAACTGGAAAAAATTACTGAAAAAAAAAAACTAATAATTAAGACAATTCTTTTTTCAGTGTATAATTGTACAGAAGGTATGATTGCATTTGTATCTGATAGTATAAGATAAATGAGATAAATCGGAGGAATGAAGAAATGTGTTAGTACAAGTTATTAAGAGTGATGGGTGTACCTGTCTTTGAGCCAGCTGTTCTCTGAGACTGAGACGTGCCAGATCAGGGGAGGCCAGAGTCTCCTGGACTCTCTCTATGGACTGATGGAGGCTCTTCACATCACTCTCCAGTCTCCCCAAGTCCTAAACAGAGAAAGACAAACAGGAAGATCATTATGTTCATCCCAAAGTCAATTTGGTTTTACAGAGACAAATGTCTGTATATTTTATTAAATATTACATTGAGTATTTAGCAAGAATTACATGCTTTCATAGTGTGTAACTTCAAGCAGCATCAAACTCGATTGCAAAAATAAAAAACAAAATTCTTTAAAGGATTCAAAACACTCTTACAGGCTCCCATTCAACAGATAAATCCACTATTATCATTTTAACACTGAAAAATTCTACAATT